ACATGGGAGTTGTCAATGCTACAATGCTGGATTTATCAACATTCATTGTTTGGCTGACAAACTCCTCACAAATTAAATGGGGGGGCAGGGGGCGGACAGGTTGCTTCTTTTCAGATATATTCCACGCCCCTACCCATGGAAAATTCTATGCCTCCTTTGAAGTAAATTCTAATATCAGAGAGCCAGTGTGGTGTAGTGGTTAAGAGCGGTAGTCTCGTAATCTGGGGAACTGGGTTCGCATCTCCGCTCCTCCACATACAGCTGCTGGGTGACCTTGGGCCAGTCACACTTCTTTGAAGTCTCTCAGCCCCACTCACCTCACAGAGTGTTTGTTGTGGGGGAGGAAGGGAAAGGAGAAGGTTAGCCGCTTTGAGACTCCTGAAGGGGAGTGAAAGGCAGGATATCAAATCCAAACTCTTCTTCTTCTTCCTCTTCAGATCATATGAGGACCAAACTCTAGCAACTCCCAGTCCACAAAAGTATGTACGTAGGTTAGGGGAAAGGTCTCATTTTTATGGTGTGTTCATGATGAGCTACGCTCGCAATGGTATTGGGGAGGTTCAACACGATTCCACTTTCAGTCCTGTTTGTACCACCTACAAGTTTCTAGGTGGACATGTGGCTTTGTTGCCAGTCAGTGCATGTCCCATAATTTCCTGCTGGAATCCTGTAGCTTTTCATACCACAAATGTTCTCAGTGTTTTGTTTGGCTTCTGCTTTTGTTGTGTTGTATAGCACAATAATGTCGTCGTCTCCCACCCGAACCCTGACAGATAGCAATAACGAGGTGACACTGGGAAAACATAGGAAAACAACTAATAAGGTGGAATTGTGTCTGGATGGCCCAGTAGAAATTCACCACCAATGTACTATTATTGCATCAGCGACATATTGCAGGATGCACCTGCTAGAAACCTGCCAGTCTGGAGGGACCCAAAGTTATATCTAAGTAATCACTATTAAAATGCTGTAAACAGTCATGCACATGTCAGATAATAGAACCACAGACTCACAGAATGGTAGAGTTAGGAGGGACTTGGAGAGTCATGTAGTCCAACCCTCTGCAATGCAGGAATTCCAACTAAGCATCCATAACAGATGGCCATCCAACCTCTACTTAAAAACCTCCAAAGAAGGAGAGCCCACAACCTCCTGAAGGAGCCCATTCCACTATTAAACAGCTCTTTTCTGTCAGAAGGTTCTTCCTGATGTTTAGTCAGAATCTCCTTTCTTGTAACTTGAAGTCATTGAATTGAGTCCTACCCTCCAGAGCAGGAGCAAACAAGCTTTCTCCATCTTCCATGTGACAGCCCTTCGGATATTTGAAGATGGCTCTCATATCTCCTCTTAGTCTCCTTTTCCCCCCAGGCTAAACATACCCAGCTCCTTCAACCGTTTCCCTTAAGGCTTTGTTTCCAGACAGCATGGAAGCCATTTTGGCTGCCGTAATTTTTTGCAATTTTGCGCCATGGTTCCCCCCACCCCGAAAAAGCTTTGGTGAGGCACGGCACCCCAAAACATGTGTTTTGGGGCACCACATAAGATCGCAGCCACCATTCTCTTGTGATAAAAGAAGGGATCTCTCTATATCTATCTATTATCTATCTATTATCTATCATCTATCTATCTATCTATCTATCTATCTATCATCTATCTATCTATCTCTATCTATCTATCTATCTATCATCTATCTATCATCTATCTATCATCTATCTATCTATCTATCTATCATCTATCTATCATCATCTATCATCTATCTCTATCTATCTATCTATCTATCATCTATCAATCATCTATCTATCTATCTATCTATCATCTATCTATCATCTATCTATCTATCTATCTATCTATCTATCTATCTATCTATCTATCTATCTATCTATCATCTATCTATCTATCTATCTATCTATCTATCATCTATCTATCTATCTCTATCTATCTATATCTATCTATCTATCTATCTATCTATCTATCATCTATCTATCTATATCTATCTATCTATCTATCATCTATCTATCTATCTATCTATCTATCTATCTATCTATCTATCATCTATCTATCATCTATCTATCTATCATCTATCTATCTATCTATCTATCTATCTATCTATCTATCTATCTATCTATCATCTATCTATCTATCATCTATCTATCATCTATCATCTATCTATCTATCTATCTATCTATCTATCTATCTATCTATCTATCATCTATCTATCTATCGATCTATCTATCATCTATCAGAGGGCCTTCTGGCGGTTCCCTCACTGCAAGAAGCCAAGTTACAGGGAACCAGACAGAGGGCCTTCTCAGTAGTGGCACCCGCCCTGTGGAACGCCCTCCCATCAGATGTCAAAGAGAAAAATAACTATCAAACTTTTAGAAGACATCTGAAGGCAGCCCTGTTTAGGGAAGCTTTTAATGTGTGATACATTACTGTATTTTAGTGTTTTGTTGGAATCCACCCAGAGTAGCTGGGGTGGCCCAGCCAGATGGGCGGGGTATAAATAATAAATTTTTGTTGTTGTTGTTGTTGTTATCATTGTCTAATCTATATTCCTTCCTGGCCTCAGGCATGTTGCATTCTTTCCTACTCCCTAAACACTAGTGGAGTAGAAGGAGTTAGTTTGGAATGCAAGGCTGGAATCTTTGGACCGCTGGCCTTTTGCATATTTATTAAAACCCTCTTAATTTTCTTTGTGCCTTGGCAATGGTTAGGCAGGGAGCAGGGGTGACCTAGTGAGTAGGAAGGGTCTTGCCTTTTCAGTTTGAAGCTTGTGGTTGAAGCGCTTGGCTGCTTCATGTGCCGGGGAGAGAGGTGGCTGCTTGTCTTGGGGTTGCATTGTTGGAAAAACCAGGCAGACCGAAAAGAGAAAAAGGTCTCTCATTATTCAGCAAAATGCAGCGTGATTAGCATCTTTTACATCTGGAAAGACCCTTGGCTTAGCCAGCATGCAAATTATATTGTTAAGCCCTGAATGAGAGTGACCTGCCGTGGAGCAGTGTTGAGGTCAATGGCAGGGCAGGACTGGAAAACTCACAGAAAGTTCAATATGTTCTGAGGCTGACTTGGGAATAAACAAGAGAGCCCCTTTGACAATGGCATTAGCTGTTTTGTCTTAACAAGCAACACTGTCGAGGAGGCGTGGGGTGTGTGTGAGGGAGGGGGAGCTTTATCACATTGTTAGAGAAGAGAGTCTTATTGCATCAACACAGACACTGTTTTGTCTCAAGAAAGTAGGATGGTTTAGACTGCCAGGCATTGCCCGTTCTTTTTGATTAAATTATGTCTGCAACTCAAAGTAGTTGAGGGTTGCTGGGCTATTATTATTATTATTATTATTATTATTATTATTATTATTATTTTAAGAAAACCTTTTAGCTTGAAATAGACTTTTATTTGATTTGGCTTCAGTTCATCTTCAGGACAGAAGAATGTAGCCTTTCAACACATGTTAAACAGATTGTATTTTATACCAGATAATTAAATCTTTGACTAGCCAGGCCTCAAATATGGTACAAACAGCTTCACCACTTCCCAGAACTTGTTCTCGAGATGAAAAAAAGTCATCCTTCCTTTGCAGGAGGTATCAAAGATGCCAAGGGTCTCTGCTCCGCTTTGGCATGTACATTGTGGACAGAGAATTTTATGTAGCTGCACTATATATTTTCTGACCCTCTAGGGGTGGGGGTGACTTGGTTTTCATGGGTTAAATGGAATGGAATGCTGGTGATTGTGCTGAGGCCAATAATAAGCTCCTAGCATATGGGGAGACTCGCCTCCATTTCTCTCTAAGCAGTTATGCAAATCTGCCACTTCGTCAGCAAGAAGAGGGACCCAGAGGATGACGTCATCCCCAGCGACAAAGCAACAAGGGAACAAGTGAGTTAGGATGCATGAGATCCAGGCAGTCCAGCACCCCCTCACTTTTGGCCTAAAGAATGCCAAGCTCCCAAGTAAATTAATTCAATAAACAACTGAAACAGGAGCACAGATAGAAGGCATTAGTGGAAAATGGGCTATCTAGTGTATTATACAAATTGTCACATCTGTCTACTGGAAGGAAGGTCTTCCTGACTCTCTCAGCTTCTCCAGGTCGGGTACCTTAGCCTCAAGGTGACAAAGTTGGATATCTGTATACAAAGCCCCATTCCGCAAATGGCTATAAAAATTATTCAGGCTGCATACTCACCACACATTTCCAGCGCATTTAAACAACATAGCTGCCCCCAAAGAATCCTGGGAGCTGTTCTTCGTAGAGCTACAATTCCCAGCACCCTTAACACGCTACAGCTCCCAGGAAAGCCATGTGCTTTCAATGCATAGTCTTAAAAATTGTTTATTTGTTTGGATTGAAAATGCCCATTTGCAGGCCATGGTCTTATTATGTTCTGTAGTTGCCACAAGTAAAATTTCACCAGAAGTTCTAAGCGGTCTTACGGGTCTATGCAGGGACAGGCAGTCTTTGACATAACCAGCTCCTGAGTCGTTCAGGGCTTTGTATGTCAGTAACAATAGCTTGATCATGACCTGATCTGAAGCCAGTGCAGTTCCATCAAAAACCTGAAATATCACGGTCACACTGGTGTTGCCTGCAGCAAACATGTAACATGTGGGCAGTGTGTGTACATGTACATGCATCTTTAAACGCTTGTGTGCATCGTAGAGACATAAAATTGCAGAGCTGGAAGGGACCTCGAGTGTCATCTAGTCCAACCCCCATGACAGATGGCCATCCAAGCTCTGCTTAAAAACCACCACTGATGTTCTTCCATATGTTTAGTCAGAATCTCCTTTCTTGTAATTTGAAGTCGTTGGTTTGAATCCCACCCTCCAAAACAGGGACCCCCCCTTCCCCTTGGAAGCTGCTGAAGGAGAGCAACCGTGAACAAAATAATTGGAGGGGTGTTTCTAGGACTAAGGTGAAACTGTGACGCACCATTGTTATTTTTGCTATTGGATGCTGCATGTCGTTTAAGTAATATTGTTGTTGTTGTTTAGTCGTTTAGTCGTGTCCGACTCTTCATGACCCCATGGACCAGAGCACGCCAGGCACTCCTGTCTTCCACTGCCTCCCGCAGTTTGGTCAAACTCATGCTGGTAGCTTCCAGAACACTGTCCAACCATCTCGTCCTCTGTCGTCCCCTTCTCCTTGTGCCCTCCATCTTTCCCAACATCAGGGTCTTTTCCAGGGAGTCTTCTCTTCTCATGAGGTGGCCAAAGTATTGGAGCCTCAGCTTCAGGATCTGTCCTTCCAGTGAGCACTCAGGGCTGATTTCCTTCAGAATGGATAGGTTTGATCTTCTTGCAGTCCTTGGGACTCTCAAGAGTCTCCTCCAACACCACAATTCAAAAGCAGCAATTCTTCGGCGATCAGCCTTCTTTATGTAATCTTGTTATATTTATAGTATTTGAATGCCTTTTTGGTACATTATTATATTTGCTATTGTTTTGCTATTTATTATGAAATTGTTGCTGTGTTATTGTTTTGCTACATCACTATGGAACTGTTGCTATTTTATTATGAAATGGTTTTTATAGTGTTCGTTTGAATTTTGTTGCTGTTGTCGTAAGCTGCTTTGTGCACGATGTGTGTGTGTGTGTGTGTGGAAAAGTGGCATACAAATAAAAGACATGCATGCATGCATGCATGCATGAATGCCTAGGAAATGCATGTTTCCAAATGGAAACGTGTGTGTTTGTGTGTGATATCCAAATACAGTGGTACCTTGGTTCTCAAATTTAATTCATTTCGGGGGTCCGTTCAACTCCCGAAACCATTCAAAAACCAAGGTGCAACTTCCGATTGACTGCAGGAGCTTCCTGCACTCAATCGGAAGCCGTGGAAGCCAAGGCAGACGATTGGCTTCCGAAAAATATTCGCAAACGGGAACACTTCCTTCCAGGTTTGCGGCAATTTGTTCAACAACTAAGCTGTTCGGGAAGCAAGGTACTACTGCACCACATACTTATTGTGGGAAAGAGTGATGTTTCCTGAAGCCATTTTAAGAATTGGACTTTATCAAAAGCAATTGGGGGTTGGGAGATGAAGTTCTAGAACCTTCCATCTTAGAGATTGGCCTAAGCCATTGTCCTTTTCTTAAGTCTTTGGTCCAGCAGCTAAAAAAGAATGTACATGTGCATACTCGTAAGATCCTGAGGTGACCCTGAAGCTCATTTGGGGAGGTGACCTGATGGATTAGAAACTAATTAAAAGTCAAGGAGCTTTTCAGACAGTAGATGCACGTCAAGAGTACTCAATCCTTCATGTTTCAAATGTGTCTGGAAGTCAAGAGCTCCCAGCACTGTTGAAATGATGTGTTCGATTTGTGTTTGTTCAGGAGAGCACTCCGATGGCTGGGTGAAGAGGAGTTTTTACTTAATTTGAGTCAAGCGTCACTAGATGGCTTGCCCCGTCAATATACAAGTGAAACAAACAAGCACAAAAGGGAAGGATCAGCAAATGCATTACAAGAGAACAGCGGGTGCTGAGTTCATCCACTGAATCTAATGTACCAGCCAAAGTGTTCTAGACTTTTCTCCCGATGTCAATTCGTTCTCGAGCCTCTTAGCCTACCAGTTCATTCTTTACTTCCAACAAGACTAGGGGGAGCCAACACTCCCAGACAGCATGGTCAAGGGTAAGAGCTGATAGGATTTGTAGTCTAAAACATATGGAAGACACCATGTTGGCTACCCTAGAACTAGACTGTTGGTTGGTATCTGATCAAGTCATTCTCAGAGTAGATCCGATGAAATTAATGGACAAACGTTAGTCATGCTGGGTCCCCTGATTTCAATGAGTTATGGTTGTTATTATTTATTCATTTGTATACCACCCTATACCCACAGGGTGCTTCACAGCATAAAATCACAATATAAATCACAAAATACAGAGTTTACACTGGGCATGGCATAGTTGGATACCAGTCTTTAGTTTGCTCACTGAGTCATTTATAATTTCTTCATTCCCTGTGTTATTACGTAGTGCTGTTTTTCCAGAAAAAGAGGTGCCGGAACTCACCACAAACACCTCCCTTGTTCTCTTATGGCAATGGCATCCACTTGAGAGGTGTTGGAATTGAGTTCTGGCGAGTTCCAACTGAAAACTCCCCCTGTGCATATGACTTCATACGAGAACTATCAACAGTTTAAAATTTTGCTGTTTTAGTTTCTAGTTGGTGTACTGTGCTGCTTAATCTATTTGACTGCATCCATCATGCAAACAAGTGTGCCATCAAACCATCGCCCATCATCCAACTGATACCGTGAAATTCCTTAAATAAAAGATCTTGGTCCAGGGCTTATCTCAAGAGTTGCCTCTCTAGAACTAAGACTTTAGATATAGGAGAAAGAAATATCTAAATACCCATGCAGATGATTTTTTCAGAATGGGTCACAAAATTAAAATTGAACACAAGACAACAAAAAAAGGAGGAAAATCCAGCAAACTAGAATAATGTTTTATCAGATTAAAATCCACTGAAATTTCTGAATTCTTTTTAGAACCCAAGGCCAGCCCAAACAAGTAGGTCTTTCTGTGTCATGATGATAATGGGGTGAGGAGTTCACAATATTTCTAAAAGATGTTCACCATGGACTGTGGCTCTGCAGAAGAGACTTCCCTTACCAGAAGATGGCTTCTGGTTCTCCTCTGAATGCCCTTCCTGTCTGAAACTAGCATAGACAGTGTCATTAAGAGAGTGCCTTCGGTGGATCTCATGGATTGTAATGAGACACATCCCATCACGTGCCCAGATTTCCCCTTCGAACAGATCTTGGCTGTATATGTTTTTATAGTAGTTCCTTGAGAGATACAGGAGTAAAACTGAATGGATGGTTTCTCCCCTCCCCATCTCAGTTGGGCTGCCCATTCAGCTGCAATTACAGACAGACCTTCAGGAAATGAAACTTTCTCCAGCAACTTCATGCTAAAAACTTGCTGACTTTCTGCTTGTTGCATAAGAGAGTTCTGCCCATTAAAAAGTTGGCAGCCTTGGAACCAACTAAGACACCAGGAATTGAAAAGCCATAGGGAAAGGGCACCTGCAATGAACAATTCCAGGAGATGGTGATAGTAAACTACTGTGGAGAAAGCAAAGTGGGTGGGAGACAACAGCGACTGGGACTTTGGCACCATCTACTAGAAATAAAGGTTTGTGCTTATATGGTGCTCGGTTGGGCTTCTCTTTTTACATCCAAAGGGAGCCCTAAAAATAAATAAAGGTGACAAAGATAACCCCAGAGCTGCTGAAAGGCGACATTCCAGATCAAAGCTTTTACATGTGTTCAATTAACCCTTAAACTGGAATCACCCAATGTTTGAGGACATCTGCTCCTGTTATCAATCCGACGCATTTTGCTGTATTTTGTCCCCCCTTTGGTCCAAACTGTGCTTCACAATTTGCACTGCGCTATTTTGCCTGCATGGCGCACTCCATCTTATTCTGAATAATTTTTGAAAGGGTGAGTAGGGGGAATGAGTGGAATAGACTCTGATAATAGATGACATCTTCGGAAAGAGGTGGATTTGCCCTGCCAGACCTCAAACTTTATTATGAATCAGCAGCTTTTTGCTGGTTGAAAGAATGGCTGCTTCTTGAAAACACGGACATTTTGGATCTGGAAGGTTTTAACAATGTATTTGGATGGCATGCATATCTGTGGTACGATAAGGTCAAAGCACATAAAGCATTTAAAAACCATATTGTCAGGAAAGCATTGTTTAATGTCTGGATAAGATATAAGGATTTATTGGAAAATAAAACCCCAAGGTGGCTGTCACCGATGGAAGTGAAAGCTCTGAAAAAGCTCAATATGGAGGTCAATTGGCCGAAATATTGGGAAATTTTGGAACAAGATGGAGATAGATTGAAATTGCAGAGTTTTGAAAATTAAAAACAAAGTGCAAGACTGGCTTCATTATTATCAGATAATGGAGGCATACAATTTGGACAAGAAAATCGGCTTCCAGGTGGAAAAATCAAAATTAGAAACAGAATTGTTAGAACCCAAAACTAAGATTTTGTCAAAGATGTATAACTTGCTGTTGAAATGGAATACTCAGGATGAAACGGTGAAATCTGCTATGATTAAATGGGCACAAGACGTTGGACATAACATAATGATGGCTGACTGGGAACAGTTGTGGACCACAGGTATGAAGTTTACGGCATGCAATGCCTTAAGAGAGAATATTATGAAAATGATATACAGGTGGTACATAACCCCAGTCAAGCTTGCAAAAATCTACCATTTGCCTGATAATAAATGTTGGAAATGTAAAGAAACTGAAGGTACATTCTTTCACCTTTGGTGGACGTGCCCAAGGATTAAGGTTTTCTGGGAGATGATTTATAATGAATTAAAAAGGTATTTAAATATACCTTCTTGAAGAAACCAGAGGCCTTTCTCCTGGGCATAGTCGGCCAATCGGTGTTAAAGAAGGACAGAACTTTCTTTATGTATGCTACAACAGCAGCAAGAATACTTATTGCAAAGCATTGGAAGACACAAGACTTACCCACACTGGAGGAATGGCAGATGAAATTGATGGACTACATGGAATTGGCGGAAATGACTGGCAGAATCCGAGACCAGGGAGAAGAGTTGGTGGAAGAAGATTGGAAGAAATTTAAAGACTATTTACAGAAATATTGCAAAATTAATGAATGTTAGAATGATGTTGGATTGAAGTTAAGTGGTTACTAGCTGTACTGGTATAAAAGAATACGGAAAAATTGGTTTTTAAATACGTAAAAATCTAATGTTATAATATATCAACAGTAAAGATCAGGATTAAAAAGGAGGGAAAGGAATTGTTGGACTAACAAATTGAATTGGAATACAAAAGAGGGAGGTATGAGGAGGTCCGGGAAACAGGTAAATGTAAGTGAAGCGATGAAAAGATGGAATTGTTTTTAACTGTTTTTTCCTTTTTTGTACTTTGTATTTTTCTTTCTTTATTGTTATTTTTCTTATTAATGTAATCTTTTTCTTCTGAAACTTTAATAAATATTTTTTTTTTTAAAAAAAGATAATAGATGACATCTTCTTAAAAATAGTTAGTTTTGGTGAGAATTTGGTACATTTGACTTACCGGTAGATGGTACATTGGTCTGAGCAAGTGATAGCTCCGTCGGCAGAACACAAGGCTCTTGATCTCAAGGTCGCAGGATTGAGCCCCACATTGGGCAAACGATTCCTGCATTGCAAGGGGTTGGACAAGATGACCCTCATGATCCCTTACAATTCTATGATTCTCTGAGTGTGTCAGGATCAAAGCAAGCTACTCTAAGCCAAGAAGAACCTTGGTGAGTCTCTTCAAAATGGAGACTTTTCTGAAATGGGCAAATGAAGCAAGTTTGCTCCCATACTGTCAGGGAACTGCCATCAGTGCCGGAGGGAGAGAGAGAGCTCCAGAGGGATCCCAGAGAGCGTCCAGGGATCGGGAGAAGCAGCCCATCTTCTGGGGAAGGGAATCAGCTCAGCTCCAGTGGAGAAGGGGGGCAGATGGGGGAATCTGAGAGGGAGTCACATGACTCCTTGCCTGGGACCAGTGGGGGGAGGAAGGGTCCTCCACTGCCTACGCCTTCCTTGCGCAGAAGGCTTCCGCGCAGGGAAAGTAGGAGGCGACTGGGCGTGAAAGAACTTCTTTGCTGGAAGAAGTTTAAGAAACGCCCACTGACGGATTCTGCCAGCGATTGAGACAGCCACGGGTGAGTGGCTGTCCGGACAGAAAAGGTTCACTTTGGCAACCCAGCCAGGTGTGGGCACCGGCTTACGCACGAGCAACCCCTTGAACCACTACACATACCAACCCTTTTATTTGGAGTTACCATCTTTGTATCTGTATACTTTTTATGACATCACATGACATCACTGTCCAATCATTGCAACTCACTATTTTCCCCATTGTACTCCTGGCATTTTCTCCCCTTTCCATCTTTCAAGAAATTATAGTGCTTAAAACAGCAGCCATTCCTTATTTCAGTGAATGTTTCCCTCTTTTCAGAGTTCTCCAATTCTCCAATGATTGCTCCATCTTTTAACTGGAAACAGAGTTTCCTATATGTGGGCATCACCTTTAATGCAATCTGAAAACTAATCATGTCTGATTAAGTTGTACTTATTAGAGGGCAGCCAACCAAATTAACACATTGCATATAAAAGACCAAAAGTACTAGAGCAATATTTGATATTAAACAATATGCCAAATGGTTACTGAGGAAGGGAGGGAGGAAGGAAGGAAAGAAGGAAGAAAGAACACAATTACTTCTGATGCTACAGAGCAGAGCTGTTCATGGCTGGTTTGGGATGTTGGACAATTCTGATGAAAACAGAAATGGGGGTGGAAACTGCTGAGGTTCACTTATTCATTCCATGTCTGGAATGGAAATCAATCCAGTGCATGAAGAAGAAGAAGAGAAGAGTTTGGATTTGACATACCGCTTTATCACTACCCGAAGGAGTCTCAAAGCGGCTGACATTCTCCTTTCCCTTCCTCCCCCACAACAAACACTCTGTGAGGTGAGTGGGGCTGAGAGACTTCAAAGAAGTGTGACTGGCCCAAGGTCACCCAGCAGCTGCATGTGGAGGAGTGGAGACGCGAACTCGGTTCCCCAGATTACGAGTCTATCGCTCTTAACCACTACACCATACTGGCATGCAATCAGCATTCACTGTTGTAGTTTCAGTCTGCAAACGATATGCAATTGATTACGTCTCTTCCAATCTGCATTTTGTCTCCTTTGCATTAAACTGAATGGGGTGGAACAACATGATGGCAACGTGATTTAGCCACCGTGGATTGAGAGACAGATAATGTTGTGTTTGGCAGAAGACGAACTGCAGTGGAAGAGGAACAATTCTGCATACAATGCATACAGGGTGCACCTCTGTTTGCAATCTGTATATTTCTTTCAGCCAAGCATCTGACGTAGTAAAGCAGCCACCCCGCCCTGGACCCACTTTCTTCAGTTCAATTTCGCCAACCGTGATGGGCACCGGTTGAGAGGGCATGCAGTCAGGAGTATCTCTGCAAGCACCCCTTCCACATCATCTGACCTCATAAATCAAAACTGACCCCACAAAGTTGGAGAAGTCGTAGCGCTGGACACCTCAGTTGGAACAGTAGTCATAGCGGTAGTGTCTATATTGCTACAGAGTCGAGTGACTTTATCCTCAAAATGATGGGCCAAACGGTCACAGCAGGCCTCTGTTGCCTCTGGAGGGGTCCACCCCCACCAACAGGTGAAAACAAATTCTGGAAGGGAAGAAGAAAAAGCTGTGAAGGCCACATTTGCAGTGCAACCTGCCTGCTGAGTTGCAGGTATGAGGACAATACCATAATAATGCCAAATTGCTGCTCCTGTGCCACAGCTCCACAGCTCCTTAAATAGCTATTCTTCTAGGAAATGCTTCTTCTTCTCATCTCCTTCAGCATTTCTGTTTTCCTGTAAGTGGCTTCTTTAAAAGTAATTTTCTGTGACTTGTCAACAACAGCTACATAAGAGGCGATGTTTTGTTGTGTGGCAGAGGAGCTCTGAAAGAGGACTCTGGTCTCGGTGTGCTTGTTAGATAAGGCAAGGTGACAAATCTTACTTTGCCACCTTCCGAGTTTGCCTTTATTTTAGGCTGCTCTAACAATGCTTTCCCCACACAATGCCATCCATTTGCACTTCCACGTAGGTCAGTTTTACTTTCTGCTTGCTCAGAAAGCTGCTGTAAAGAAACACATACACACTCTGGGCCATATTCAATGTAGTGCTAAGCAAAACGTCCCGCCAGCACAAAGATTCCTCCTTCCATAATGAAACATTCTCCCACTCTCCTCTCCCCATATCTCTCCTGGGGGGATCCCCCAACCTTTTTGAGCAGATTTGGGTTGGTGTGGAGGGGAAGGAAGCGGGGGTGGGGACAATCCTATTGCGCTAGTGAAACTATTAAGCTGAATACCATTTGAGCAAACCCATAAATTCATGAATTTAGCAAGAAATTATCATATTGGCTAACTTCCTCGTGAGGTCAGCATGGCAACAGCTCAGTGGGGTGGGTCTTGAAGAAACAAAAGGCTGTTAATGGCCTGGCTTGTTTGATAGTGGTAAGCCATAAAGCAGAGACATCACCTTGCCAACAAAGGTCCGTATAGTTAAAGCTATGGTTTTCCCAGTAGTAATGTATGGAAGTGAGAGCTGGACCATAAAGAAGGCTGATCGCCGAAGAATTGATGCTTTTGAATTATGGTGCTGGAGGAGACTCTTGAGAGTCCCATGGACTTCAAGAAGATCAAACCTATCCATTCTGAAGGAAATCAGCCCTGAGTGCTCACTGGAAGGACAGATCCTGAAGCTGAAGCTCCAATACTTTGGGCACCTCATGAGAAGAGAAGACTCCCTGGAAAAGACCCTGATGTTGGGAAAGATTGAGGGCACAAGGAGAAGGGGACAACAGAGGACGAGATGGTTGGATAGTGTTCTTGAAGCTACCAGCATGAGTTTGACCAAACTGTGGGAGGCAGTGGAAGACAGGAGTGCCTGGTGTGCTCTGGTCCATGGGGTCACGAAGAGTCGGACATGACTGAACGACTAAACAACAACAACCACCACCACTGGGCTGATGGGCTTGAGAAACAGAGATTGCCAGGGTGACTGGGGTGGGAGCTACTGGAAGCAAGAGGTGAGGGTTTGTTTGTTTTTTGCAAGTGTTTCTGGGAAAGAGAAAGAGGAAGTGCATGGAACTTCATGCAGGGACTAAAGGGAAGCCGCCATTCTGGCTGACTGTCACAGAGAGACACGGGGTAGTGCTTAGGATGCCTCTGGATCCAATCCTGCGCTGCTGGGAAGGACAAGCCCCTCTTGAGATGTAAATGCTGTGAACTGCCTCTCCATAAAAGTAGATACGTGTGAATAAACCATATTTCATAAAGGCAGTAGTCTCTGACGTGCCTCATTTTCCCCAAGGAAACACAAACCGTGGTTAAGTGCCACTGTTTGGCAAAAACTGGGGTGGCCCATAGCAATATATTTCTTTCTATTTGTTGTAACAATGCACATTTTTAAATGTCGCTTTTGTCAGCCACCTAACCTTGCCGCTTCTTTTGATTTAGAAGGGCTGACTACAATTATTTTAATAAATGAAATCTTGACCTTCTTTGATGGATTCCAGATAATAATAATGTGATTCACTGGTGCGCCTATGCTATCAGTGGGCTCACAAGAAAATGTGCATATTTCTGCAATATAATTTTTGTATAAGCAAGGCACAGACATTTTGTATCTCCAAATTTTAAAAAAACAACCCTCTGACCTTTAGCAGCCCAAACCCCACAGAAGCATGTAAATTGCTGAAGTATTTGGCCCAGGCAGATTGGGCCTGGCGTCTTCTTTTCTTGGTACGGTAGTTGGGGAAACGCTCGAACACTGAAAGCTGCCTTATGCTAAATCAGACCATTGGTTTAATTATTTCAGCAGTAGAGTATGGGACATGTACCGATTAGAAACAAAGCAGTATTTGTTAAGTAGAATTGGTTTAATTCACACAGAAATGGGAAAACGGCTGAGTATTAATGAAGGTTTAAAATGGAAAAATGGCTAAATATATATTGATAACATTGGGGTTTTTCCACAGTTGTTTTCTAAGTGGTCTCTGAGCTTCTTGCTGAGTAGATAATTAACTAGTTGTTGTTTTCTGCTAGCTAACATGTGAGTGTTGTAACCTTAGATCAGGTGACAGAGGTATTGAATTGCAAAACTGTCATCTTGAAAGGGTGTTGGCTTTAGGCTTTCTCTGAATGACACAGAGAACAAAAGGATGTGATAATGGCTCTTCAAGAGTTGCATAGCCTAAGGCCAATGGAGGCTGAAATGCAGGCTGTCAGTGGGAGGGGGGGACAGTCTGGACTTTTGGAATTATCTTTTATTTCTAAGATACTGAGCCTGTGCTGGACAGCACCAGATATTGTATGGCTATTTTTGGACACCATTTGATATTTTTGTTTTGTTTTGAAGAGTTCTGCAAGTAAAACTTTGAACAATATTTTTATGGGTCTGGACTATGTTTTCTTCCAAAAGGAGTCAGTTTTTATGTTTCCAGTCGCTTCAAACTGCACAAGATTAATATCTGCAATTGTACATCTGCTTTGAAACTTCTGCAAGTGCAAACAGTATTGAAAGTGGGATCACGTATAACCGCCCCGATACCATCATGAGAACAAATAATCATGAATGTGCAATAAAAGGATGTCTGGAGGGACCTATATTCTCATCTCGGTGCTCTTTTTCTTCACAATAACCAGAGAGCTTGTTTGTCCTGTGGCTTCTCTGTCTGAATTGTGAAGCTCCTGTGCTTGCTCACTGTGCCTTGACTTTGCCTCTCTTCCTGCAGGGATGAATAATTTGGGAGCCCTGGTTATTTAACTGGATTATATATTCACTTGACAAGCAATCCTGCAAGTCCTATCTCCCTAGTGCAAAGCTCTGCAAAGAAGTATCTCTAAATTATCACAAAATCACCACTATTTCTTCTTCTGATGGTTCTGCTGACTGAGCTAACAGAACTGCAAGCCCGATTCAGCTGCCCATATTGCTAGTCTCAGAGATATAGACGTGTGCTTTAGGGTTGCCAGACTACCTTTCCCTCCCATCAGTAAGACCCTTTTAAATATCTGACAGGCCAAGACGAGGCAGTGACAGTTGGACGCTACAGTTTCTGGGACAAATTGCCCATGTAGCCAATGGATGGGTTGCCTCTACTTGCCAGCATAGCAATTGCAGATTTAATAGATGCATGTGTCATGGAGCTTAGTTTATTTACTATCCCCACCAATATTTTTTCAGTAGCTTGCTTAGAGAACATTAATCTCGTGCAAATTTAATTCACTTACTTGACACAGCTTCAAATGATGATACAGCCATTTGTACTGGGAGAGGGAGAGGGGAAACGGTCTTCACCACCTCATTTTCAGCAAATGTGCACCACTGACAATCTATCTGTCTACCTGATCCTTTTACATGAAGGATTCAGAAGGCGGGCCACTGAGTTCATGCCCTATTGAGGTGAGGCGATAAGTGCACACAGTATTCCACGTGTGGCCATGCCATAGATTTGTATAACAGCATTACCATAGTGGCAGATTTATTTTCAATCCCTTTCGTAATGACCCCTAACACAGGCTTCAACTTTTTCACAGCTGTCGTACCCTGGGTTGACATCTTCCTCAAGCTATCTATTAAGACCCCAAGGCCTCATCCCTGATCAGTCATTGACAGTTCACTTGATAGAATCACATGGACTGCTTTACTGCTGATTTGTCCAATTTGGAGAGATCCTTTTGGAACTCCTCACGATCCCTCTTTGTTTAAACCATCTTGGACAACTCTGTATCAATGGCAAGTGGCTACGTTGCTACCTTGACAAAGTTAATTCATACACAGGGATCTGCTCTGCATCTTTCCTAAGTGAAGTCAGATGCAAATACAGTGGTACCTTGGGTTACATACGCTTCAGGTTACAGACTCCGCTAACCCAGAAATAGTACCTTGGCTTAAGAACTTTGCTTCAGGGTGAGAACAGAAATCGTGCTCCAGCGGCACGGCGGCAGCAGGAGGCCCCATTAGCTAAAGTGGTGCTTTAGGTTAAGAACAGTTTCAGGTTAAGAACGGACCTCTGGAACGAATTAAGTACTTAACCCGAGGTACCACTGTAATTCACCCTGCTTCACTGCAATCACCTTTTCTTCCTTTAGCACAACTTTAAAGTCCTTTGTATTATGTTCTTATATGTGTTGGAAGCTGCCCAGAGTGGCTGGGGAAACCCATCCAGATAGGTGGGGTATAAAAAATAAAATAAAATAAAATAAAATTGTGGGTGCCCATCTGTGGAATGCGCTCCTTCATGAGGTTCACCCAGTGCTTTCATTGACATCTTTTCAGCACCAGGTAAAGACCTATCTTTTTCCCCAGGTAAAAAAAAGGTAGGTGTTGGTTTTGTTACCATAGCTTGCCTTTTGTACACATAGCTTGCTTGGAGAATTGCATTGTAAAATTAAGAGAAGAGCCAGTATGGAAGAACGACTGTGTTTCAGTTCATGTATTACTTCAGAAAGTGTGGTTCAGGTGGGCTTGCCTCTGCATGTGAGCTGAACGCCTCCCGTGCACACATGGTCCCTACTTAAATTATTGCTGCAGCATCTTTGTTGCTTCCCTGTATTTTGTCATTTTGCTGGCTCTCAGCTCTTTCTGTTGCTCCTGTGTTTAGGATCTGATGTGCGTGCATTTAAAAAGTTCCCCTGCCATTTCCAAACTCTAAATGTGACTATCTTGCAGCCTAAACAATTCTCCCAGCAGCTGACAAGAAGCACAGTCATCTGAGCGACATATGAATTAACATTGATTTGAAGTTCAATGCCTTACACAATGCAAGCCACAGGGGAAAAAGGCCCAGGAGTGCCACCCAATATGCATTTCCATAGAGAATAGCCTCTTCCATCACAACTGTCAGTAGATAAAGATCATTTCAACACCCTTATCAAGTTTTCAGTATGAGGGGTTCGATTGGCAGTAATTTGTTACAAAGCACTGTCGTTTCTCATTTCTCTTTTTGTTTAACATAAAATCAAAACCGTCACCAGCCCGGAGGCAGCAAGAAAACGTCTTTCCCATAAAAACGTTATTTTGTATAATTTATAATCTGGGACGCTACTGGTCTTTGGGGTTTAGAGCACCCTTTCTGTTAAGTTGTGGGTGAACATATCAGACGACACAGCGATTCTTCAAACAGCTCTTGTTTATTCACAGGCCAGAACAGAACTGAACTGAACTGAAGGGTTCAGCCAGCCTGCTTATATAGAGCTCCATTAGAATGCAACAGTAACCATTTTCTGTAACTAGCCAATCACTGAACGTCACTTTCAATCCCTTATTTGCATATGTGGACCTGAGTGAAAACTATCTACAGTATCCCCCTGCTGGCCCAGGGTGAGAACTTCACTACATAACACTTTCCTAGCGTGCTGGAGACAAGGTTGAGCTTAGAATTGAGAGAGGTGGGCTCAAACTTCTCCCTAGCTATGAATATGATACAGAGATAGGAATGGAGGAGAAATTCAGTTTGGGAAAGTGTGAATTTCATAGACTAGCATGGTTTCAGTGTGCGTAATGTTTCAGGAAGTATAAATTGGCAGGTTCACATTAAAATTCTAACCATGCTATCGTATGAAATCCACATTTTTCCAAAAAGAAATTGATGCAGTTCTCTTTCCAGAAAAATTCTCATTTCCAAACACATTTTCACCCTTTAGTGTCCATTTCAATAATAATTATTATTGCTAAATGAGGGGAAGGATGCAACACAACATGGTGATTAAGAATACCTACACTTGTATCAATAACTAAAGAAGAATGAAAACGTTAGGGTTTTCGTGGGTAAGAAAATTGTTGGATTCTGTATGATCTGAAAAGAAGAGGAAAAAATAGCTAGATGGCTTGCTGGTTGCTGAATACAATTTTTTGCCTTTTGGGCCTCTTGTGCAGAAAGAAGTCATTGGAAGGAAGGGGGGGGGGAAATGTACAAGAGACAGCTGACTTAAAGCCAAAATAACAGAACGAAGTAAAATGTTACTAAAGGCAGCATTCCATCTTGCTCCGACTGAAATCACTGCCAATACATTCCTGCTAACGGGGAGGTATATAATCAAAAGATTCTGAGAAAGAGGTTTCAGCTAAAGTAATCTAGTATGCTGAGAGATAAAGTCAAACTTCACAGAGAGAAACTTTGGCAAGGTGAACAAGAGCCTGCCAGTGTGCTGCAGAGGATCCTGGGAAATATTCTAAGGCATAGCTCATGTCAAGACTTAGAACTGTTGGGCTACGTTGCCGCCTTGCCTGATTTAACAACAGACCCTCCAAATGTCCCTATTTTCCAGGGACATTCCTGATTTAGAGAAGCCATCCCAGCTTCTGATTTGATTCTGAAATGTCCCACTTTTCCTTGTTGTTGTTGTTGTTTAGTCGTTTGGTCGTGTCCGACTCTTTGTGATCCCATGGACCAGAGCACGCCAGGAACTTCTGTCTTCCACTGCCTCCCACAGTTTGGTCAAACTCATGCTGGTAGCTTCGAGAACACTGTCCCACCATCTCGTCCTCTGTCGTCCCCTTCTCCTTGTGCCCTCCATCTTTCCCAACATCAGGATCTTTTCTAGGGAGTCTTCTCTTTTCATGAGGTGGCCAAAGTATTGGCGTCTCAGCTTCACGATCTGTCCTTCCAGTGAGCACTCAGGGCTGATTTCCTTAAGAATGGATAGGTTTGATCTTCTTGCAGTCCATGGGACTCTCAAGAGTCTCCTCCAGCACCATAATTCAAAAGCATCAATTATCCGGCCATCAGCCTTCTTTATGGTCCAGCTTTCACTTCCATACATCACTGCTGGGAAAACCATAGCTTTTACTATACAGAGCTTTGTTGGCAAGGTGAGGGCTCTACTTTTTAAGATGCTGTCTAGGTTTGTCATTGCTTTTCTCCCAAGAAGCAGGCGTCTTTTAATTTCATGGCTGCTGTCACCATCTGCAGTGATCATGGAGCCCAAGAAAGTAAAATCTCTCACTGCCTCCATTTCTTCCCCTTCTATTTGCCAGGAGGTGATGGGACCAGTGGCCATGATCTTCGTTTTTTTGATGTTGAGCTTCAGACCATATTTTGCGCTCTCCTCTTTCACCCTCAATAAAAGGTTCTTTAATTCCTTAGGACCTCCCTTTTTTCAACAGAGAAATGTTGGAGGGTATGCAACTATCCAACTCTCGAGCCATCTGAAGGCAATCCTGTATAGGGAAGTTTTTTTATGTTTAATGTTTTATTGTGTTTTTACATATGTTGGAAGCTGCCCAGAGTGACTGGGGCAAGCCAGCAAGATGTGTGGGGTATAAATAGTAAAATTATCATTATGGAATGGGACGTCCTTATTTTCATCGGAGAAATGTTGGAGGGTATGTAACAGCGAGGCCTAGGATACGCAGAGCATTTCCTTTTCATTGTACATTAGAGAAGAAGATTGTGGTGGGCTATGGGAAGAATTCAAACCTCTACCAGGAGCAACTGGTGCAGAAGAGTGGCAGCATATCCCTGGCCTCCTGGCACCAGTATCTATATGGTCTACTGTGATGAGGTTCTGGATTGGTTCTGCCAGTATATCCAAACAGTATCAAATTCCCTGCTACCTCACCTCTTCTGCTTGGCACCACTGGCATGGGAAGGTACATCTCCCTGCTAGCTGCTCCTGACCATGACTGGTCCTCTCAGTAGAAAGTCCCTGATAAAGTTTCCTGGTTTGGAATGGTTTCTAAAAACCTACTCAGCATGTTTCATTAGGGTCAAATGTGGATCAAAATAATGGTGTCAAGCTACCGTATTTTTTGCCCTATAGGACGCACCTAGTTTTCAGGGGGGGGGGGAAACCAAGGGGAAAAAAATGATTCCCCCCCGCAGCTCTGGGAGCAGCGGACAGGCAGCACGCAGCCTGTGCGCTACTCCAAGACCTTCTCCCTGCTTTTGCGGGAGGTGGCGGAATTCCCTCACCTCCCGCAAAAGCCCACAGGAGCCGTGCACGACTCCTACGGGGTTTTCGACCAGGAGGGAAAAGGGACTGAAATGGCCAGTCAGTCCCTTCTCCCTCCTCGGGGAAAAGCCCCCAAGAGCGGCGAGCTCTTCAAAGGGTGCGCAGCTCCTGCGGGCTTTTCTACGAGGTGGGGGAATTCCCCCACCTCCTAGAAAAGCCAGCAGAAGCCGCGGAGCCCCTTTAAAGAGTGCACAGCTTTTGCCTGCTTTTGTGGGAGGTGGGGGTATTCCCCCATCTCCCGCAAAAGCCCACAGGAGGGTTGGAGAGTAGCAGGAAGGCATCGCACGCCTTCCCGCTGCCCCCCCATCCTCTGGGGCTGGCCATTGGGGAAGCGCTGCTTTCCCCCACTGCCAGCCTCAAAGAGCAGGCTTCCGGAGGCGGCGCCAGCGGTCGATGGCGGATTCCCTCGGTTAGAGGGAATCAGCGCCACGAAAAAAAGGGTCAAATCCCGCTTCGGCGCAGCGGGGGACCCCTAAAAATCACAGGCGGGGAAGCCTGTGAACCTGGGACCCAGCGGGCACATTTGGTGTTCCCCCCCAACCCGGCAAAAAGCCCAGAAACGGGCTTGAAATCGGAGCGGGGGAGAGCGCTGTGCTGTGGGCTGTCTGCTCGTTCGTGGTGTGAAGCCGCAAGCTGTCGACCGGAGAGCGCTGCCTTTCTTCCTTAAAATCCGGACCTGGAAACCAACGATCCGTGAGTAGGATATACTCAAATTGGAACTGTACAAATTGGAAACTGAAATTAGGCTGAAAACGGAAGGAGGTTTAAAAAGGAAGTCAGCCTCCTTTTATTGTAGATAAACTTAAAGCATTGAACTTGAAAACGGAAGCTTTTGGAAAGTACGTTTTAGCGGACTTTAATCCAATCATCGAACCTGGACTTTTCCCTCTATAAGTTGAGGGGAAAAGGGGGAGATCTCTGGAGGTGATTTTTTTATAAAGAGTGGAAAAGAAGAGATTAAACCATCACTCAATTTCCTGGGAAAGGATTCTCCAGATCCTAGGAAAAAAAGAGAGGTACTGTCTTGTAATATATTTTGACAGCTAGTCCTGCATTGGAAAAAAAGTTTGGATAGATCTTGTGAATATATACCTCTTGGTCCTAAGTTGAAAATTGTGATAGACTGTTTTCCTTCTGAACAAACTAGGGGGGCTTAAAAAGGAAATTAAAGTATCCAAGAACTTTTATGACTGCTACAGTGTCCCCCTAGTGGAACTTGGAACTGTTGCAACTTATTATAACTGTAACTGTAGCAGGCTTGAGGAGTTCTCACACTGCTTGGGGGGAAATTTCCACTCTACAATTCTAACTACGTGTCTGACCTTGAGAATTATCTAAGGAATGGCAGATAAAGAGAAGACGGATGCTTCGACTACAAGATCGGGGAGGAATATTCGCACAGAAGAAGGATTACAAAGGAGAGCTTCGGCTTCAGGCCCTTCTGGAACCTCAACAACAGCCTCATCGGCACAATCAAAGGTAAAAAGCTCGACAAGTGAAGAAGCCTTTGCTCAAGTTTTGGCCAAAGTTAATGAATCTTTGAGTAAAATAAGTCAACAAGTAGCAGAGGCTTCTGAGAAGATTGATCAAAATACAATAAGTATTAACCAAAATACAGCAAGTATAAATAATTTGGGCCAAAAAGTAAATACCAACACTGAGACTATTCAGAAATTATTAGAGGAATCGGCCTCAATTCGCCAGATTGCTGAAGAGGCTAAAGAAATTGCTACAACTTCTGCTACGGATGTTAAGGAGGTTCAAGAGGAATTACCAACATTGCATAAACAATTGGAAGACCATAAATTAACTCTGTCTATGATAGATTTGAAGGAGAAGCAAGTGAATCTTCGGGTCAGATCAGTACCAGAGGTGGAAAAGGACAATTTAGCTGAATTTCTCACGCAGGAATTTTTGGACTTTTGGGACCCAGAACTGGCAAAAGACAGTTTCACAATAGTAAATGCATTTAGACTTGGGAGAAGAGGAGAGAAGAAGGTGAGAGACTGCCTGATTACTTTTAGAACAAAAGAAGAGAGGGATAAGATTTTGGGCTTACATTTCAAGAAGACATTGGAAATCCATCAGAAAAGGGTGGAAATATTCAAAGATATTCCGAAATATCTTCTGGATCTCAGATCAAAATACAAAGACCTGGTTATCCTGCTGAGAAGGAACAACATCAATTTCAGGTGGGAACTCCTCAAGGCCTGTCTTTTAGCTACAAGGGAAAGAAGAGGAAAATAAGATCGGAAGACGATAAAGATAAATTTTACAGGGACCACGGAGAAGACTTACAAAAAGAACTATTTCCGGAACCAAAAGATCGTTCGAAAGAAGGGATACCACCGACGGACGAGGAACAGGCACTAGGTGCAGTAGGAGGAGAACCAAAACAATAACATCATGGCCCTGCAACTTTTAACATGGAACTGCCGGGGTTTGAATTCCCCTCAGAAGAGGAAGTCAGTATTTCATATATTAAAAAAGGAACAATTAGACTTAATTTGTTTACAAGAAACACATATAACAAGATTACACAGGAAATTGTTGATAAATAAAAGACTTGGTCAGGAATTTATTTCGTCAGATAAAGTTAAAAAGAGAGGGGTCGTGATCTACGCAAAAGACAATTTATTACCAAAATTTGTTTTCAAGGATGACCAAGGAAGATTTGTGGCAATTGAAATTCAAACACAAGGAGAAAAATTTTTGATCGTAGGAGTTTACGCACCAAATGACGGGAAATCTGATTTTTTTAAGAAGTTGCATGAGACCTTGATGGACCATATGGATTACAACATAATTTTGATGGGAGATATGAATGGAGTGGTATCTACTTACATGGACAAGGCACAAAAACAGGTAGTCACCAAAGATGGTAGACTACCGAAAACTTTTTTTTGATATGACAGACAACTTGGACTTAGTGGATATTTGGAGAATTAGAAACCCCTTGGCAAAAGAGGGAACTTTCTTTTCTGAAGCCAAAATGACTTGGACAAGAATTGACCAAATTTGGATAACTAGAGGAATGGCACCAAAAACAAAAAAGGTGGAAATCTGCCCGAAAATTTGCTCCGACCATAACGCTGTTAAGATGGAAATGAGACTAATGCCAACTGGCTCCTTCAGATGGAAGATGAATGACACCTTATTTAGAGATGAAGAATTTCTTAAGAAGGCCCAAAAAACTTTAAGAGACTACTTTGAGATAAATCTTAGTTCCAACGTGGAGAAAAGAGTAATCTGGGATGCAAGTAAAGCTGTTATGAGAGGGTTCTTAATACAACAGAATGCGATAAAGAAAAGAACTCAAAATGAGAAGAAGGATAAAATTATGAACAAAATGAATGAATGTGAAAAAGATTGCGAGTAAATCCCAAATCTCAAGAGACTCTGAGAGAGTTAAAGTTATATCAAGTACAATATATGAAAATAATGAATCAGGAAATAGAATGGAAAATTAAACAAATGAGACAAAAGACTTTTGAATCGGCCAATAAATGTGGTAAACTGTTGGCATGGCAAATGAAAAGAGACAAAAACTAAATACGATTACGAATTTAGAAGTGGATGGAAGGAATATACAGAACCCTGCAGAGATAAGAAGTTGTTTCCAGAAGTATTTTAAAAGACTATACACTCAAGGGCCTGTGAAAGAAACAGACTTAGACCAATTTTTGAAAACAAATGGATTACAAAAAATATCTCAAGAAAAGAGACTAATTTTGAATGACAGAATAACGGAACAGGAAATAGAAGGTGCCATTCAAAATATGCAACTGGGTAAATCTCCAGGCCCAGACGGCTTGACCTCTAGATACTACAGATCCTTAAAAGAATGGCTAATTCAACCATTGAAAGAGGTCTGCAACGAAATAATGGAGGGGAGGAGGGCACCAGAGTCGTGGAAAGAAGCATATATTACACTTGTACCAAAAACAGAGGCTGAAAAGACACAACTAAAGAACTACCGCCCAATATCATTACTTAATGTGGATTACAAAATTTTTGCAGATATTTTGGCGAAGAGATTTAAAAAAGTGCTGCTGGAAGAGATTCATAAAGACCAAGCGGGCTTTCTCCCAGGAAGACACTTGTCTGATAATTTGAGGAATATAATTGATATTTTGGAAAAACTAGAAGTGAATATAAACACTAAAGCAGTGTTGATATTTGTAGACGCGGAGAAAGCCTTTGACAATATTTCCTGGAATTTTATGAAGAAGAATCTTCAGGGTATGGGGGTAGGCCAAAGTTTTGAGAATGGTATAAGTGCAATTTATTCAGAACAAAAGGCTAAACTAATTGTAAATAACGTTGTGACGGAAGAACTTAAAATTGAAAAAGGGACACGACAAGGTTGCCCAATTTCCCCCCTTCTTTTATTTCGGTCCTGGAGGTGTTGCTGAATATGATTAGAAGGGACCAGATGGTTAAAGGTATACAGGTCGGAACCAAACATTATAAATTGAGAGCATTTGCAGATGACCTAGTATTGACGTTACAGGAGCCAGAATCTAGTACAAAAAGGGTGTTAGAACTGATTCAAGAATTTGGTCAAGTGGCAGGATTTAAATTGAACAAATCAAAAACCAAGGTTTTAGAGAAAAATTTAACACCGTTTGAAAGAGAGAGGTTTCAGAATGAGACAGGGTTAACAGTGGTTAAGAAAGTTAAATACCTGGGGATTAACATGACAGCAAAAATGGGAACTTATTTAAAGATAATTATGAAAAATGTTGGTCAGAAGTGAAAAAGATTTAGAAATTTGGTCAAACTTGAAGCTTTCACTGCTAGGCCGTATTGCTGCGATAAAAATGAATGTATTGCCTAGAATGTTGCTTTTGTTTCAAACTTTGCAGATTGTGGACAAAATGGACTGTTTCAAGAGGTGGCAGAAAGATATTTCTAAATTTGTCTGGCAGGGCAAGAAACCTAGAATAAAATTTAAAATACTAACAGATGCAAAGGAAAGAGGTGGATTTGCCCTGCCAGACCTTAAACTTTATTATGAATCAGCAGCTTTTTGCTGGTTGAAAGAATGGCTACTTCTTGAAAACACCGACATTTTGGATTTGGAAGGTTTCAATAATGTATTTGGATGGCATGCATATTTATGGTATGATAAGGTCAAAGCTCACAAAGCATTTAAAACCACATTGTCAGGAAAGCGCTATTTAATGTTTGGATAAGATATAAGGATTTGCTAGAAAATAAAACCCCAAGGTGGCTGTCACCAATGGAAGCGAAAGCCTTGAAAAGGGTCAATATGGAGGTCAAATGGCCGAAATATTGGGAAATTTTGGAACAAGACGGAGATAGACTGAAATTGCAGAGTTTTGAAAAACTAAAAACAAAGTGCGAGACTGGCTTCATTATTATCAAATAATGGAGGCATTTAAATTAGACAGGAAAATTGGCTTCCAGGTGGAAAAATCAAAATTAGAAACAGAATTGTTAGAACCCAATACTAAGAATCTGTCAAGAATGTATAACTTGCTGCTGAAATGGAATACTCAAGATGAAACGGTAAAATCGGCTATGATTAAATGGGCACAGGACGTAGGACATAACATTATGTTTGCTGACTGGGAACAGTTATGGACCACTGGTATGAAATTTACGGCATGTAATGCCTTAAGAGAGAATATTATGAAAATGATATACAGGTGGTACATAACCCCAGTCAAGCTTGCGAAAATCTATCACTTGCCCGATAACAAATGTTGGAAATGTAAAGAAACTGAAGGTACATTTTTTCACCTTTGGTGGACGTGCCCAAAGATTAAGGCTTTCTGGGAAATGATATATAATGAATTAAAAAAGGTATTTAAGTATACCTTCCCTAAGAAACCAGAGGCCTTTCTCCTGGGCATAGTGGGCCAAATGGTGTTCAAATGGATAGAACTTTCTTTATGTATGCAACAACAGCAGCAAGAATACTCATCGCAAAGTATTGGAAGACACAAGAACTTCCCACGCTGGAGGAATGGCAGATGAAATTTATGGACTATATGGAATTGGCGGAAATGACTGGCAGAATCCGTGACCAGGGAGAAGAGTCGATGGAGGAAGATTGGAAGAAATTCAAAGACTATCTTCAGAAACATTGCAAAATTAAGGAATGTTAGAGTGATGTTGGATTGAAAATAAATGGTTTCCAGCTATACAGGTTAAAGTTAAGGATAGATTAAGATTAAAGATCAAGATTAAGGATGTTTAAAGAAATGGAAATTTGATAATAAAAGGGAAAAATTTAAAGGTATATGACATTAAGAATAAGGATTATGTTTAAAAAAGTTGAAGTTATATATTTTAATATTTTATTAAATTAAAGATTGGGTTCAAAAAGTGGAAAAGAAACTGCTGGACAAATAATGTAGATTGGAATACAAAAGAGGGAGGTATGAGGAAGTCTAGAAAATAAGTAATATAAAATTGGGAACGGAAAAGAGAGTTTGTTTTTAATTGTTATGTTTTGTCTTTTTATTGTTAAATTTTGTATTGTTTTTTTTTTTGTCTGTGCTGTTTTGTTTTTTTTTTCCTTTGTTTAAAATCTTAATAAAAAATTATTTAAAAAAAAACAACAACAAAGAGCAGACTCTTCTGGCTTCAGCGGAAGCAACGCGAAGCCTCCGGAGCGCAGGCTTTGGAGGCTTCGCATTGCTATCGCTGAAGCCAAGGAGCCTGCATTCGCTCCATAAGATGCACACACATTTCCTCTTCATTTTTGGAGGGGGAAAAGTGCGTCTTATAGGGCGAAAAATACGGTATTTCCTACTCTCTCTCTCTCTCTCTCTTTTTAAAAAATAATCTTTATTAATTTAAATTACACACATATACAAAGAATTTACAATCTCATACTACAAAAAGAAAATTAAAGACAAAACAATTAAGAAAAAAGAAAATACAGAAAAAAGGAAGAAGAAAAAGCACATTTATGTGCATAAAAAAACTTAATCTTCCTAATTAATACTTAAATAAACACTTAAATAAAAAATACTTCTGACAAAATGAGTCTTCCAATCATTCTCATTGTACTGTTTATACTGTTGTTGTTTTTTCCTGCACAGTTTTATGTTCTTCAATATAATTGTGCTGCCCCCCCAAGCCATTTCCTGCTCTCTGTACCAATGCCATTGAAGAAGAAGAAGAAGAAGAGTTTGGATTTGATATCCCGCCTTTCACTCCCCTTCAGGAGTCTCAAAGCGGCTAACATTCTCCTTTCCCTTCCTCCCCCACAACAAACACTCTGTGAGGTGAGTGGGGCTGAGAGACTTCAAAGAAGTGTGACTGGTCCAAGGTCACCCAGCAGCTGCATGTGGAGGAGCGGAGACTCGAACCCGGTTCCCCAGATTACAAGACTACCGCTCTTAACCACTACACCACACTGGCCATGTTGGGTGGCCATGTGCCCTACCTGGCAGAGGATAGTCCTCTGTTTGAAGCATCCCTTATTTAAAGGACTGCCCATCCACATCTGATTTAAGGATTTAAGGATAAAGGTCCCTTAGAATGGAGATCAGGAGAGGCCTTGAAGTTACCAGGCAACAGCTACCACCTGGACAGCAGAGTGACTGTCATTGGCTCACAGTCTTCCCCACTATTGTGGAATTATTGTATTTGTGTTTAAACTATAGTAATGGTTTCTACATTTGCCCCTCGCTAAACTTCAGCATAAAATGCTATGCGGATCAATGTGGATCACGAGGGTCATCTAGTCCAACCCCCTGCAGTGCAGGAAATTTTTGGCTCAGCATGGACCTCAAACACATAGATCTCGAGTTTGAGAGTCTCATGCTGTATTGACTGAGCTATCCCAAGGGGTGATGTTCCTTTCCAACACTGCATCAGATTCCTAGTCTTGTTCATGACTCTGCAGAGAGAGAACCTGGGATTTTTCATGGCGTCTCTGAGTCAGAATGGAAAAAGAAGCTTCCAGAAGACTAGACAGCCATGGCCAAATGTTCATACTGTTTAGTATGAACAGAGGAAGATGCTCTTTTTTGAGTCAGACCACTTGTCTATCTAATCCACCAATGTCCACACTTCCTCTGGGTGCCCCCCTGAGGGAGGCTTGGAGGGTACAGTGGTACCTCAGGTTAAGAACTTAATTTGTTCCGGAAGTCCGTTCTTAACCTGAAACTGTTCTTAACCTGAGGTACCACTTTAGCTAATGGGGCCTCCCGCTGCCGCTGCGCATCTGCCGCACAATTTCTGTTCTCATCCTGAAGCAAAGTTCTTAACCTGAGGTACTATATCTGGGTTAGCGGAGTCTGTAACCTGAAGCATCTGCAACCTGAAGTGTCTGTAACCCAAGGTACCATTGTACTAAGAAGGGGAAGAGCCTTTTCTGTGGTGGCTCCTTGCTTGTGGAATGTTCTCCCAAAGCATCACCCACCTTGCACCATTACCATGGCTATATTTTCAGTCCCATGCAAAAATGTTATCGCTCCTCCCAGGCACCTGATAGACTGTGCCAACTGCCCTGTTGTTTATTGATGGGGTATTTTCTGCCGCTGAAGTTTTCTGCTGTTGTTGGGTTTGTTTTATGAGTCTTCCAATGGTTTCATTTCAATGTATTCCCTGTTCCCATGCCATGCCTATGCCATTTTTTTCTGCCACCTGCTCAGTGTCAGCGTTACCCCTATAGAACTCCACAGGAAGAAGGTTGGGGACAAAACCAGAATTAGTCGCCTCCACCTACGCTGTGGGTTAAACCACAGAGCCTAGGACTTGCCGATCAGAAGGTCGGCGGTTCAAATCCCTGCGATGGGGTGAGCTCCTGTTGCTCGGTCCCTGCTCCTGCCAACCTAGCAGTTCTAAAGCACATCAAAGTGCAAGTAAATAAATAGGTACCGCTCTGGTGGGAAGGTAAACGGTGTTTCCGTGTGCTGCTCTGGTTCGCCAGAAGTGGCTTAGTCATGCTGGCCACATGACCCAGAAGCTGTACACCAGCTCCCTTGGCCAATAAAGCGAGATGAGCGTCGCAACCCCAGAGTCGGTCACGACTGGACCTAATGGTCAGGGGTCTCTTTACCCTTTACCTTTACCTATCATTGGCTCTGGCGCCACCTACTGTTAAGCTCCCAGCATTCCACCCTACCAGTCTCAAAGGACGTCAGCCACAAATAATGATGCCTGCCTAACATTGCCTATGATTGAGATGCCTGCCTGCCTAAGATTGAAAGCCAGGCAGATTGTCAAGCTGAGAGCGCCCAGGCCAGGCCTGGTGGGCTGCATTGACTTTGGTAGGTCACCAGTTGTGTGGGCCTTCCAATGATAACAGCACCCCACAGGTGAATTGTGCGGAAGGTTTGAGGCTTTAGTCATTCTGGGAAGAACAGACTTGTTCCAATGGATGTTCCCTTTGTACTATATAGATCATTCCAAGCAGGAGGCCTTGTATAGTCTCAAACACTTTTGCTGAATTTATTGCTTTAAGGGGAAAAATGACAGGGCGAGAAAGAAAAAAAGCTTGACAATTCTGAGAGCAGTTTCAGTTCTAGCGCGAGCCCACCTGCTGGCATTTTTTGTTCCTAATCATAGAGAAGCATGCTGCACATTAACCTTCCAGAGAGCAGGTATTTCATCTTTCCCTGCAGAAGTATTCCCACTGAACAAACTAGTTACTTAATGCAATTTAACCGCTGGAACAGAAATAGTTGCAAGCTTGATGATGAAAAGGGTAGCTTAAAACTGAAACACCGGGACACTATGGTTACCGTCATCAGGCATTCTTGCGGAGACAAGTGGTTTGGAATGGGACACTGGTGGCTGATTTAGCATGGTCAAATAAAGAAATTACATGGGTTCGATGTTGTGGAGGGTTTCCACAAGCACTTTGTGAATTATTATTGTTGTTGTTGTTTTCATTTTGGGGCTGCATAAAATATGAATGTCGGTCTGGCTGAAACTTGGGGAGATTTTTAAGGGTTAGCGGTGATGAAAAATGGCAAAAGAGAAGGGAGGAAGCCCAGGCTAGGAATCACAGAGAACAGAAAAGCACAAGAAGAGCCCTGTGGATCCCATCTGTTGTTGTTTAGTCGTTTAGTTGTGTCCGACTCTTCGTGACCCCATGGACCAGAGCACGCCAGGCACTCCTGTCTTCCACTGCCTCCCGCAGTTTGGTCAAACTCATGCTGGTAGCTTCAAGAACACTGTCCAACCATCTCGTCCTCTGTCGTCCCCTTCTCCTTGTGCCCTCAATCTTTCCCAACATCAGGGTCTTTTCTAGGGAGTCTTCCCTTCTCATGAGGTGGCCAAAGTGTTGGAGCCTCAGCTTCACGATCTGTCCTTCCAGTGAGCACTCAGGGCTGATTTCCTTAAGAATGGATAGGTTTGATCTTCTTGCAGTCCATGGGACTCTCAAGAGTCTCCTCCAGCACCATAATTCAAAAGCATCAATTCTTCGGCCATCAGCCTTCTTTATGGTCCAGCTTTCACTTCCATACATCACTACTGGGAAAACCATAGCTTTTACTATACAGACCTTTGTTGGCAAGGTGAGGTCTCTACTTTTTAAGATGCTGTCTAGGTTTGTCATTGCTTTTCTCCCAAGAAGCAGGCGTCTTTTAATTTCGTGGCTGCTGTCACCATCTGCAGTGATCATGGAGCCCAAGAAAGTAAAATCTCTCACTGCCTCCATTTCTTCCCTTCTATTTGCCAGGAGGTGATGGGACCAGTGGCCATGATCTTCGTTTTTTTGATGTTGAGCTTCAGACCATATTTTGCACTCTCCTCTTTCACCCTCAATAAAAGGTTCTTTAATTCCTTAGGACCTCCCTATTTTCAACAGAGAAATGTTGGAGGGTATGCAACTATCCAACTCTCGAGCCATCTGAAGGCAATCCTGTATAGGGAAGTTTTTTTTGTTTAATGTTTTATTGTGTTTTTACATATGTTGGAAGCTGCCCAGAGTGACTGGGGCAAGCCAGCAAGATGTGTGGGATATAAACAGTAAAATTATCATTATGGAATGGGACGTCCTTATTTTCATCGGATAAATGTTGGAGGCTATGTAACAGCGAGGCCTAGGATACGCAGAGCATTTCCTTTCCATTGTACATTAGAGAAGAAGATTGTGGTGGGCTATGGGAAGAATTCAAACCTCTGCCAGGAGCAACTGGTGCAGAAGAGTGGCAGCATATCCCTGGCCTCCTGGCACCAGTATCTATGTGGTCTACTGTGATGAGGTTCTGGATTGGCTCTGCCAGTATATCCAAACAGCATCAAATTCCTTGCTGCCTCACCTCTTCTGCTTGGCACCACTGGCATGGGAAGGTACATCTCCCTGCTAGCTGCTCCTGCAGTAGAAAGTCCCTGATAAAGTTTCCTGGTTTGGAATGGTTTCTAAAAACCTACTCAGCATGTTTCATTAGGGTCAAATGTGGATCAAAATAATGGTGTGCCCATCTACACCATGGGTAGTGATGCCCCCCTCAAGCTATTTCCAACTCTCTCTCTCTCTTTTAAAAAAATAATCTTTATTAATTTAAATTACACACATATACAAAGAATTTACAATCTCATACTACAAAAAGAAAATTAAAGACAAAACAATTAAGAAAAAAGAAAATACAGAAAAAAGGAAGAAGAAAAAGCAGATTTATGTGCATAAAAAAACTTAAGCTTCCTAATTAACACTTAAATAAACACTTAAATAAAAAAGACTTCTGACAAAATGAGTCTTCCAATCATTCTCATTGTACTGTTTATACTGTTCTTGTTTTTTCCTGCACAGTTTTATGTTCTTTAATATAGTTTTGATCTTCTTGCAGTCCATGGGACTCTCAAGAGTCTCCTCCAGCACCATAATTCAATCCCATCTAGTCCTGTATTATGCTCTCACTGTGGCCAACCAGATGCTTATGGGAAGCCCCTGAGGACCACCTGAGTGCCAGAGCACTCTCCTTTCTTGCAGTTCCCAGCAGGTGGAATTCAGAGGCATGGCTATAGAGGCAGGACATAGCCACCAGCTCCCGAAGGTACAATAATCAACATGAGAGAATTGTTGGAGCATCCCTTCTTCCCAGGGGCAACATCACTGGGTGCCCAGAGTGAAGGCAAAAGAGAAGGTCCAGCTCAGGATGCTCCTGCAATCAGCTCCTGCAAAGATAATAATAATAATAATAATAATAATAATAATAATAATAATAATAATTTATTTATACCCCTCCCATCTGGCTGAGTTTCCCCAGGCACTCTGCGCAGCTCCCAATCGAATGTTAAAAACAACACAGCATTAAATATTAAAAACTTCCCTAAACAGGGCTGCCTTCAGATGCCTTTTAAAGGTAAGATAGCTGCTTTTTCTCTTCACATCTGAACATCGGGCGCCACTACCGAGAAGGCCCTCTGTTCCCTGTAACCTCACTTCTCGCAATGAGGGAACCGCCAGAAGGCCCTCTGCGCTGGATTTCAGTGTCCAGGCTGAACGATGGACCTCATCTGATGGACTGAGAGGATTCTGTCACTCCACATATTACCTACTATTTACATGGCAGCTGTTTACCAGCTCCACTTGGTGCACATCTGAGACCTTACCTCCCTATGCATTGTCTGCCAGGCTTAGGCTGGCTCAGTCAGCAGCAGCACTGCTAAACAGAGATTGAATCTGGTGTAACTTTACTGTGGCTATACTTAGAGCAACTGTCCTTATGCCAGCTTCTTTGTGTACAGGATTGCTCCCTAAGCAAGTGTGATGCAGAAGAAGCCGTCTCTGGTACACAGTTATAGCTATCATAATGAGTACACATCAAAATCTGCAACTCGCAGCGAAGACATGCTGCCCTTTCGAAAGGGTGGGAACATGATTGTACTGTGAACAGATGAGAAGTGTGCTCTGAGGGTGCTAGACTCGTTTAAGTCTCTTTTCACACATTTGAGTCTTGAGGACTTCAGCTGCTAATTTTCAACTTCTTTCCTGAATCCCACATTGAAAAATAGAGGCCAGGATGACATCTGGTCTTGAACTCAGACTGTCCTAGTATGAAGGGAAAGGAAGTGAAAGGTTAATGCCAAACTCTGAGGAGTAACTTAGGGCTAGCTGCAGAAGGTGGCAGGGCTGGGCATTTGCCAGGGCCCCGGGAACACTAGAGATCCCACCACCCTGACCATTTCTGCTTTTACAAAGAGCATCCAAGAACATCAAATGCAGCCTAAGACAATTCTCAGTTTCCATGCTCTGGCCCTTCAAAATTGGGCCCTTTTAGGGTGCCATGGCCAAGGGTACTCAAAATCCTAGAGTGGTTAATACTTCGGCATACTGGAAGCACGATTCATTGGAGACAAAAAGAAAATTCTGAATTTAGGCAGGCAAAATCGAGGGCACAGATGCAAGACAGGTGGAACCAAGCTTGGCAGCAATGCGGGTGAGAAGGATCCAGGGATTTTGGTAGACCACAAGCTAAAAATGAGCCAGGAGTGTGAAGTGGCAGCTAAAATGGCACATGCAATGCTTGGTTGCATCAACAGATATATAGGGTGGGGTTCAACTAAGTTGTGTGAGCTGAATTAGGTTTGTTCATACAGTGGGGTTCCCCCCTTTCCCTCCATGTCCCCATAATCTTCTTTTGGGGGTAGGAGGAACCCCTAGAACAGGACACCACACGCCATGATGGCGCTGGTGTGCTTTAGGTCATCAGACCCACAGGGAGGGCTGACTCTGTTGGAGGGAGAGGTTTGGAAGAGAGATTCTTACTCTTTTGTAGCAGCACAATGGTAATTGCTCCAAGCACATTAAAGCTTGGTTAGATTTTCATCTGCCCTCATCCACCGTTAAACAAAGGTCCCTCATGAAAATACTTAGGCTAGACTAAATCACAGACACTTAGCTTTGCAAATATTTTGCTCACAGAGTTCCAGTTACAGCAAACGAGTCTCCATCTGCTGGCAGTAAAACGAAGATGGGAAAAGATTCCAAATGGCTTACAAAGAAAAGTACTTGGTTTCCTTACAAAAGGATCGTGTGATCTCCGGGATAGCAAAGATGCAGGGTATAAAATCTCATTTCAGAGAGATTCAGTTCACTTGCAGGGAGCCATGGCCACATGGCTTCTTGCTTGCTCCAGGAAGCAAAGAGAAAAAGACTGGGGGGGGGGGGCAGAGCCTGCTGAGAGCCTGCTAAGTCATGCCCACTTGAATCCTGAGCCCAAGTTAACCCTTTCATTCACACAAGTGTGAGTCAGTAACAGTATATTACTACAGTCTCAACCTGACTCCCAGATTTCCCCAAACCAGCCCAATTCAGTTTTGGACTCTGCCAAATGCAGTTCATGGCTCTTGCATACTGCCTCGACGCATGGACGTTTTTTCTAGATATCAAATGTCCTAGTCGCTGATACACCCATTCTCCATGAGTTTAGCCCAGTGGCTGATCACACTGTTGGAGAATCAAAGAGTAGAAAGTGAACAGCGCATGAGAACAAAGTTGAGATAATTCCTTCGCAGCTGGAGGCATCTCAGTGAGTGGACTTGGGAAGGGATCAACAGTTTACACAATAGTGCTATGCATCTGCAGTGTGGCTGGCTGAGGACCAGTGCAGGATGGGTCCCATGCTGCTTGTGAGAATGCAATTTGGATGGATCCTGCCCCACACATATATGCTTTCACCATGCCATCCCTCAACAGTATTATTATTATTTTGCAGTGAATGTACACAATCCCCATTTTTACCTGTAGATAAACTCACTTCTCTCATTCCAATAACCTACAGAAGCTCATCTCTTCATATTATTTATGGAGAAGAATGGAGATCTTATTTTATACTTTCTTCTTTAGAAAAGAAACACACACACACATACACATTTATTCTGCCTGTACAAATGGGCAGCTATTGAGTTATCTGCTACATGCAGTAGGAACCGAGATTGGAAGACTATCATTGTAAAATCCATGCCCGCTACTGTGAAAGTGATCTGATACAAAGGGTGATTTATTTCCTAACACTGAGGATCTTATCTGGTCTCAAGCTTTATGTCAGGCATTGTTCTGGGCAAGTTGCATACTCTGTTACTTAAGAGGGCACCTGCAGTGAATGTGGATGTTGAAATATCCATGCAAAGGGTTGCTTCATCTGCAGTTTCCCAGAGTTGATCTGAATTTGCACGTGGGTGTGCATGGTCCTTCCCGCAACTGCACTGCCTCCTGTCAGGAACCACTGGTCCGAAGGAAGCTTCCCCTCCCCACAGAAAGAGACATATTAAATTAACCCTGTGTGTGGAAGAAGTACAGGAAGTGGGGCAGTTAAGATTTCAATCCTATGTACACTTACCTGAAAACAAGCCCGGTTGAAAATAGCAGGACTGGCTTTGCACACGATTTGTTGTGATGGCAGAGAAACATTCATTATATATATATATTAAGCATGGGGTAAGCAGTGGATCTGTCATATTAATATTGCCTCATTGTTGTATCAACAAGGCTTAAGAATTGTCTTTCTGAAGTATTGTAAGGACTGTTGTTGTTTTTAATCAATTTCAAATTTCAGACTGAATTTTTGAAATTTCACAAAATTTCCACAAAAATGGTTTTCTACTCATAAGATAAGAGCACTGGAAAGACACAGAACATACATACCCTGTTATATGC